AAAGCAATGGTGAAGCAAAGATGAGCTACCAAATTGATTAGACCCCAATTTTGGACCCAATGCAAACTGAACTGACGGCAGGATATGGGCCTAGAATCAAGAAGGAATTTCCTCACAATAACCACAAAGACAAGAAATGTAACCTAGATTTTCCACTTCATGAAGGTCACATGTACTCTTTTTCTTGAGAAGATTTAGGGGCACCCCACGTGCTGACAAATCTCTCAAATTTTCATGCTCTGATAGCCCTTTATGGCCTTTGGCTTTTGCTTGCTTTCAAAACAAATTTCAATTGAATCAATTTCTTACAGGGTAAACAATGGGTTTTCTTCTCTATTTTTTTTTTCCTTTTTGTGGCCATGAAAAGAGCAAGAGATTTTCAATCTTGTACGAACCAATGGAGCCATTGAACTTGAAATTTGAAATTGAAATCCCCTGTTATGGAAACTACTCTTCAACCACCCTCACCATTTTGTTTTTCCAGTTGACTTATTATTGAAGTGATAGCATGTAATGCTGTTAAGGATACAGGTCTTTCCCTAAAAACAAGGGGAAAAAATCACATTTATATCCTGACCTGACGTTCGGATAGTGTGATTTAAAATCGAAAAATTATTAAGTCAATGTTGCTTGAATCTAGGTCATTACAATTGGTAAACCATAAACCCACATTACACTACCCTTTAGTATAACAATATTTACAATCTTTTAAAAAACTTTCTTTCATTAACCTAATAGTAGTACGAGTGGTATGTTAAATGATTAACAATCAATTAATGAACAGAACCCTGTTACCAATATTTATATCTTTGTTTGTATTGCCCCAGTAAAATATTCCCTGAAATCATTAACTATAATTACTGTAATTAACATGGCAATAATAATCCATGTTGTTGCTTTGGTTTGTGCCAAGGAACAGTCCAATTTGGACAAAAAGCCTGTCTGAATTGATTAAGAGAACAAAGATTTAGTTAAGACAAGTAACATTAAAAACCTGAAACAGAGAACACCCTCCAGCCATTTTTATTTCTTCTGTTTGCAGCATCCTCAAAGACCAGATAAAAAGCCTGCTTCAGCTTAACTAATGTATGGGTCCTGACAAAATTGCCTTGGATCTTGAAGATTGACAAAGCCATGATTTCCTCTTTCTTTTTTTTCTTTTTTTTTCATGTTTAAGATACAAAGATTGGATGATGATTTTATGTAAATCTTAGTCTAAAGACAAAACACCAAAATTTCAGGTAAAAGTGTTTAACCTTAAACTGTATCGCATAGGATTCTTCCGTTTTTATGATTTTCTTCTTGTTCTTTTCACATTTTTGCTAGCAGTTTGGTAAATGCTTGGAATCTAATTAACTTACTAAGAACTACAAGTGAAATTAGGGTAAAATTATCGTCATTAAACCACAAATTACCTTATAAAACACGAAGAGATTATTAAAACGAGACAAAAATTATTTTTCATTGTATAAACCCAAGATTTAATAGGCTTTTATATAGTCAACATCTTTATCTAAACCCCATTTTTTAAATAAAGATATAAATCATAACAGATGTTGTCATGGAACAAAATGTTCCAAATCATGATAATATTTAACATTAAATCTTTAATATTCCCAATAGGTGACAAATTGTTAATTAAACAGAGAATTAAGCATGATAAGTGATAGTAATTGATTTGTTTCCATATGTAATGCATGATCGCACCAACATAGAAAAACATCATTATTACATTTTCTCATCATACATTTAACATTTTTGCTAACCTTAGCTCACATTTTCCGTCAATATGATATATGTGTGTATATATATATATATATATATATATATAATTAATATCCAAATGACCCAATTGCCCAAAGGAGTACCTTAAAAAAAGAAAGAATAGATTACAACTAAATTCAAAAAGCATCCCAAGAATGGAAGCATTTAATGCAGAGGTTTGACTGGGTCAGGCACTGCAGCATCCTCCAAACCAGAGATGTTCTTAGGCAGTAAACCAATAATAAAATATACGGCTCAAAACGTACAATGCTTCTTTTCTTTTCCTTTTTGTGCCTCTATCCCTTACTGTCCTTGTCCCTACCACAGCAGAGCTTCATGCTGAAGCAAAGCAAGTTTTCTTCTTTCTTGCTTTTGTGCCTCTTTCACCTTTATCTGATAAAGCAAGTCTATTTAACTTGGCTGATGAAGTGGTGATGATCGTGAATTCATGATGATGATTATTAATCCAACAAAGGGTTTCTTTTTCTCGGATTTGTTAAGGCAAAAAACAAGATTTGAATAAAGCAAAGGGTAAACAAAATCCCATATCACTTTCATGCTTCCATTTTGTTGTTACCCTTTGATGGTTAGAAGAGAAGATGCAACTTGGAACAAGGATTTGGATAATAAATAGAATTCTTATTAGTAAATATTTTAACTGCCAAGGGATATTACAGAGGGTTTGTGGATTTCTTTTCTTATAAAAATCCAAACTTCAAAGGCAAAGTCCAAAACACTCCCCCCACCCCTATGAACTAGAAGGAAAAAAACCCCACCT